CATCCTTCAAGCATCCCAAAGCTTAGCTATGGGGAGAAGTGGTCATGCATGGGAAGCCATGAGGGGTGAGGGAGGGCATGGGTGAGATATGAGTTAATAGTAAATTCAGAAAATTGGACAAGTCACATGCAGATAATAAAACATAGACTGAGCCTCACTTGCTGGTATACATAGTTGATGTCTATGGGTTGTTTGTCCTCCCCGCCATTAATGAGATTCCCCCCAGCCACAGCTGTCAACCTCTGAGAATTATGATATCTTCTCACAATGAACATAACTTCTAAATCCTAGGATGTCAGAGCCAGAAGGACTTTGGAGGTTATCAGGTTCAACCCTCTTATTTTACAGATGAGTTGACTGAGTTGTAGAAAGAGGAAGTAACTTGGTCATAGAGGTAGGTAGTGGCCAATCTTGTTTTCAGACCTAGATCTTTTATTTTCTAGTCTCTTCCATATTTTTGGCTGACTCCTCCATATTTTTAAAGTTTTCTAATCAGGGAATTAAAAGGCTTGACAGGCAGGTCATTTCTAGCCCAAAGGGAGGAGTCTTTATGGCATATATGTATTTTAAGTTAATATGAATTAAAATTAAATTTGAAAATGTTTTTATAGTTCTGCTGCCACCACCCCCTGCCCAGTTGCTACAAATTAGGATTTGAATTCCTATATTTTAGAGGGCAGGTACCAGGTATCTCTAAATCAAAGGAAATAACCTGAATAGATAGCACACAGAGAAAACTTTAACAAAAATTTTAAAAATAATTTTGTTAACAACCATATTCCGCTGTCTTAAAGATTTGGAGCAAGCTCAGAAATGTTGCTCTCCTTCCTCCCCTTGACCCCAGTCCACCCACGAGTAAGAAACAAACATGGTAAGGATGAATTCCTTATGTTTGCAAAGTTGACACTTTGATGGCCAATCTCTTGGGTCTCTGAAGTGAAGAAAAAAAAATGTGTTTGGTGCCAAAGACCTTAATTAATTTGCTCTTGTTAAATTCTAATAACTTGACCCACTGGAGCAGAGAACGTCCCATTTGTTTTCTGTGAGGCTCTGTCAGCTTCCCTGCTGGGGCAGACAGTGTCATTAGAGATGACGGAAGAGAGGCAGGTGGAGCGAGGACATTCAATGTAATCAGATCTTCTCATTGAGGGGTCACGCGTGAGGGGACCCAAGACCTTCCGAAAGAAGCACTGCTCCAAATCACAGCAGACTCTCAATTACATGAGGACACAGGGTCAGGTTCTCTAGGCTGTGACTGGATTCAGCAAACCTTTATTGAGTGCCTACGGGTGGAACCTACTCCGATCAGGTGCCTCCTAGTCTGGCCACTGATTACTTAGGCATGCCTCCTCCTTACATGCACCATCTTCTCCAGTCCTCTCAGCAACTCTAATGATGGTGGTATTATTCTGTTCCACAGGAAAGGAAAGGGAAACAGACTTCTGTGGGGACCCTGGAAACTATGCCACGGTGAATCCTACACCCACTACTGTGAATCTTATTTCCTTCCTGAACTACTATTTGGGGAACAAGAGACTAGTGCTCAACAAGGATATGGATGTCCTGCAAGGACTCAGCTGCAGAGGTAAGCCAGACCTGCCTTGTGGAGGTCATGGTTCTCATCCTACTTTCCTCTAAACCAGTGGTTCTCAACCTTCTGGCCCTTTAAATACAGTTCCTCATGCTATGGTGACCTCCAACCATAAAATTATTTTCGTTGCTACTTCATAACTGTAATGTTGCTACTGTTATGAATCATAATGTAAATATCTGATATGCAGGATGGTCTTAGGTGACCCCTATGAAAGGGTCGTTTGACCGCAAAAGGGGTCGCGACCCACAGGTTGAGAACCACAGCTCTAAATGGCTCTGGTGCCAGGTGTGCTCACTGGTAGTTCTGTGGGTCTGAATATCTAGTTGAGCCTGGAAATGAAGAATCTCTGGTAGATGTTGCAGGCTTCACCTGCTTCTTGCTTCCAGAGAGCCCCTAAAAAGCTGATACTCTGTAACCACTTACGCAGTGCTGTGTGTTTTTCCTCAACTGGCCAGCATACTGCAGAGCAGGAGAAGTGACATGTACTTGAACTTTATCCTCAAAACCACTACCATCACTACTGATCATCATCACTGTCATCAAAATCACCATTGTCACAGCCACCATAAGAATCTGTGCATTTGAACTACTGCCTATCACCTCCCGCTCCCTTCTCCAAGTCACATATTACTCCCTTTTTTATTTTGCCTACCAGCATTTTCTCCTGTGGACAGCCTCTCCTAAAAAAACACTGAACGGCCTGGCCAGCTTGGCTCAGTGGTTGAGGGTTAACCTATGAACCAGGAAGTCACAGTTCGATTCCTGGTCAGGGCACATGCCCCAGTTGTGGGCTCGATCCCCAGTGTGTGTGTGTGTGGTGGGGGGGGGCGCAGTAGGCAGCTGAGCAATGATTCTCTCTCATCACTGATGTTTCTATCTCTTTCTCCCTTCCTCTCTGAAATCAATAAAAATATGTATTTTTTAAAAAACAAAACACAACAGAGAGTCCGACTCAGTCTAAGACAAATCCTTCAGTCTCAGAGTTTTACTGTCTGAAAAAATGGGACGAATAATCCTTGCCCTGGGGGACATGCTCTGACACTGTTAGCTCCATTATAGCCAACAAAATGATAGAACAGCCTCTGAGCAGGAGAGACCAGAGCACCAGATAGGTCAGAGTTGGGGTGTTGGGTGGCTCAGAGCCACAGGGAGCAGGGCAGGCCTGTTTGTGAGGACTCTTCCTGTAAGTGGACACAGATATATCGAAGTGGCAGGTGGCATCTGCAGGTGTCCCATAAGTGACGCCTGGGACTCCTACCTGATGAGAGAGGGCTAATAAAAGGTCTCCTGCTAATCAGGAGACCTGGGTTCCACTCCCAGATGAGCAACCTTGAGCAGGTCACTTCCTTTTTCTGGGCCCAGCTCTCTCAACTGCAAAGCAAGGGAGTCCTGCTGGTTGATTGTACAATCTCCTCTACGTTCAATTATCTCAATCGTCAGACCTATGGAGCCCTGAGTCATAAGTGGTATTTATGCTCCTCTCTCTCACCCACATTCCCACCAGGAAAGGAGGAGTATACTTCCCTGCCCCACTACCTCTTCGATGGAAGGCTAGTTGGTGACTTGCATTGGCCAATGTCTGTGGGCAGAAGGAGCAATGTACCAGCACTGAGCAGAAACTTCGAGAAGCATTGCACGTGTCAACCAATCCTCCTGTGTTCCTGCACTTGGCTAAGAGAATACACCCTGTAGTCCCTGCTCCTTTAGGCTGGGCCCAGCAGGAAGAGACGCTCAAAGCAGGCCCAAAGCCAATTCACAGTCAGAAGCTAAGCCCAGCCAAGTCCAGCAGAGCCACAGCCATCTTGTAGTCCCATGAATGGAAAATAAATGCTTGCTGTCATAAGGCTCTGCAATTTTGGAGTTTGTCACTGCAGCCAAAGTTGACTAATACACCACGTAACAGGAAAGCATGTCTCCTAGAAGCTCATATCAATGACAGATCAAAAACCTGCCTGAAGGAGAATGAAGGGCAGCTGGAGGGGCCTCTACAGGAAGGCCCCTCCATGCCAGAGCCCCATACCTCCATATGGAGACACAACTGGTTTTTGGCATCAACAAGGCCAGGCCTCCGCAGGAGTAGGAAGGGAGTTTTGTGCAAGAGGGAACTAAATTAGAATGCCTCAAGTCATATACCTCCCATTAATGGTCCTCTTTCTTCCACCGCTCTCCAAACCCGAGCAGTCTGCTTATTTCACTGCCTACATGCCATAATTAACAGTCTCTTGAACTAGGGGTTGATGTATTGGTTTCACTAGTGCAGAGAGGCAGCAAGTTGCTTAGACAAGTTTACAAGTTCCGGCATCACTAGTTGTTGGCTACTGTCATTAGTATGCAAGTGTCCAACCTCTCTGGTTCTAATATTATAGGATCCCAGAGAAACTCACATTAATATCATCCCAGCCAAATTCTAGTTAATAGATGTTTTCTGATAAACGAAGCCATGTAGCATTTTTATATAATTCATAAACAAATACCCAGGGAAGACAGCTGTGGCGCTCTGATGCTGTGAGCGCTATGGCCTAGGGGAAATCTGAGAGTTCCGGGTCAGGATGTGCAGGCTTCCTGTCACTCAGAAAACCAGGACCACTCCCCACTCCTCAGTCACTTGGATGAAGACTTCAGAGTTGACAGCCTGTGTCAACCAACCCTCCACCAACCAAACTAACTGGAGGTTAGAGAGGGGAACATAGATTTGGGAATGGGATTAGGAGGAACTCAAGTGGTGGGTTTCTGACTTTTTTCTAAAACACTGATGCCTTTTAAACAGAATCATACCTGCAATGGAAACATATAAATAGGTAAAAGAGCAGAAGCTCAGGGTGCCACAGGGGTGAAGAGTCAGAGCCCGTCAGGTCAGCACTCCATTCCGCTCCTGAAGGCGGCTCCTGAAGCTGGGCATGGAAGCCCAGGGCTACACACAATGTGAAAACAACTAGACTAGAGAAATCTTGGGCATTGAAATCGGCTTATGGAAAGCTGGAAAAAGGAGGCAGGCATCCTCAATACTGGTTCTGGGCATTTTGCTGTGAAGAGAATGAGATTAAATGTGCAGGCAGCCCTGGTCTGGCTTGGCAGCCATGGGTACACAACAGAGAGGAGGCTTTCCTCATCCAGCCAGAGGCAGATAGACTGACCAATGGACTTTTCACAAATCTTCATGGCAAGTCCCCTTATCTATCTTCAACCAGGCAAGACATGTGCTTGGAAAAATTTAGATCTTCCTTCCCTTCCCTTCCCTGCTTCCCACTCACCTCCCAAATTTAAGCCACTGGCCCCTCCTGAGCTCACAGGTGTCAAGGCTGCTGCCTTCTCTGCTTTGACCTCCCAGAGGGTGCGGTCCTGAGGGATTTGTCTAACTCACCCTCATTTGGCTTCCCACTTCCCATGGAGACAGGCCCCGACTCACCAATGCACACCACGTCCATGAACCCATACATCCCGTAGCAGATCTGGAAGAGGAGGTCTTGGCGCTGCCATTTTGCCGAGGGACTGAAGGTTGACCAGATGAGCCAAGAGATACTGGCGATGAGGAAGAGGGAACCCAGGATGGCGGCTGCAATCTGCACCTTCTCAATGACTGTCAGAGAGATGGCCTGCCACTGCGGGGCAGAGAATGAATGGTCAGTAGGTTAGCTGTTGCTCAGATACCCTCATCCCATTCCCATCCCTCTTCTTTCTGTCACCCCCAAACTCTCACCACTGGTTTAGGATTTAAACCAGGGCTTTCCAACTAGTGACACAATGGATATTCTTGCAAGTTTTTTAGTTTTTATTGTTTTGGTGGAAGAAACCTATATCACACCAAATGATCAAAAGTCATTGCAGGGGTGGGGTTCTGGGCAGGCATGGCTGGGAAGGAAGGTCTTTGCAATTGAGTATGACACAGAGAAATGGGGAAGAGGAAGTGAAAATGCAGCGCTAATGTGGTTAGAATTCCAGGGCCTAAATATTATTTTCAGAGCAGCACTGTTTCCTTTCACACTGATAGGTGCTGAGAGGACACAGGCCTTTTTTACTTTTCTGCAACACCTGGCATGCCATTTAATATACATGCTGGAGATTACCAATTCAACAGACTAGGAGAGGACCCAGGATGTGGAGGAGAGATAAGAAAAACAGTATAATCTACTGACTATATATGAACACTAAAGTTTCATTTTTTTAAACAGAAAAAGTATTATACTAATAGCAGTATTGATGGATGGGTTGAAGGCTAAGGTGTGGGTGAGTTTCAGCTCTGAAATTCTGCTATTCTATGACGATCTAGGTAGCAGAGGCCTGAATGAGCCTGGAGTTGGATTTTCGTTTGGGATTTATTTATGCTGTCACTCAACAAACATGTGCTGAGTAGTCTCTATGTGCCAGCCACTCTTCTAGGTGCCAGAGACAAAGTAGTAAGCAAGAACATACAAGATTTCTGCTCTCATGGAGTTTACATTCTAGAAAACACGAACAATCAAATAATTTCTTACAAATGTAATTTATCAGGAGTAAGAAAGGGAGATCCATGTCACTGTGGAAGTCTATAAACGGGGATTTGACTTCCCAGGAGAAGAGATGCTTGAGTTGAGTAGGAGTTGACTAGAGAAAGAGGGGGGAGGGGGCCCCAGGCCCAGGGAAGAATGTGTGCATAGGCCCTGAGAGTATGAAAACTTGGAAGAAGACCAGAGTGAGTGGAGCAGAGAGAGTGAAGAGGTTGTGGGGTGAGACACTGGAAATACAAGAGGGGAAGACCATGTGGAATCTTGAAGGATACGCACAGATGTTTGACTTTGTCCTAAGAGTAAATATGATGCTTTTGAATAGTTTTAAGCAGGGAAGTTGAACAATTTTACAAGGATCAGGTTTGAGAAGAGGGAAGGAAGGACAATCTCCTGATCATAGGAAGTTGCATAACACCTTGCAGAGAAGACTCCTAGGGCATTTCGGCCTGAACCAGAGGAAAGGCAGGGTACCCTCCACCTGCCAACAGCGAGTGCTCACTCTGCATCCAATGGCCGGGGAGGGGTCACTGATTCTGGCTCCAGCAGGGACTGATCAATGGTCCCCAAGGAATTGTAACCATTGGAAAACATGTTGTTTCTTAGTCTAGATGTAGGACATTCGCCCTCACATTTAATTATCCCATTACACGTCATTGGGCCTTTAAATTTTCCACTGTTTCCTCCTGCCTAGGGTTACACATAACAAGGGGATTTTCCAGAAGTCTGTAACCCGAACCTACAGATGTTGCTCATATACAACAAATGCTTTTTCCAGGCCTGTCCCACTGTCTGTGAAGAGGGTTCCTGACTGGGCTTTTTTGTTTCTACCATTAAGTCATCAATAACCTCCACCTTCTCCTGCTCCAGATTTTAAAAAATCCCAAAACCAAAGGCACGGAAAAGTCCCCTTAATTTCTAAAGCCCTTTCCTACCAGCCCCAAGCCACCTGTAGAAACTAAACAGGGCCCCAACTACAGTCTGAAGCATGAAGAAGGAGTGGGGTGGGGGCCATCGTCAAGGCTGCCCTCCTGTCTGTTCCACGTGAGGCTCCCCAAAAGGTGCGGGAGCAGAAGTGCAAGGAGAAAGCAGAGAACAAGTGACCAAGGTCTCAAAGAGGCCGGGTGGGGGGGGGGGGAGCTCTGCAGCCACCAGACACAGAGCAAGATTCTAAATGCGAGATTCTCAAGCGCTGCCTGTTCTGCAACATAGGGAACGCACGTGGGGCACTGAGTCTGGGCAGGTGACCCAGTTCCAGCCGAGCTCTACCCCAACTTGCAGAGTGTGACCCAGGAGAAGTCAATATGTCCTCAAGAGTCTCAAGTTGCCCTTTTGTAAAGGTGGAAATAATCAGTCCCACTTCCTAGAATATTGTGAGGGTTGAACGAAATAACGTTCTGTGCTTCTTCGTAATGTTTCAGCAAAAATATAGTCATGCACGTCGAGGTGGGGGCTGCCTAAAGGCAAACGTACTCAGTAAACTCAGTGCTGTGCGCTACAGGGTAGAGGTTAAGGGCCAGACTCAGGAGTCAGACCCCTTGGATGCAATCCTGCTCCACCAAGTGACCCTGGGCAGATTGCTGACCCCTCTGTGCCTCCACTGTCTCATCTGTACATTGGGAGTAACAGCACACACTGCATTGGTTGTTTTCAATATTAAATGAGATAATATGCATGAATACGTAGAACAGTGGTTGGCCCCCAGTGAGCACCCACTGAACATTAATGTAACTGCAGCTCAGGTGTAGCAGAAAGGGTAAGAAATAACCACGAAGACCATGGGGCCACCCCAAACTCTTCTCAGTGGCTCTTCTGCTAGAACCAGAGCTTGCAGAGGGTCACTGAGGTAACGTACTGTCATGGCTGCTGTTTTTCACCACTTTGTATGGGGCCTGTGAGAAACCTCCCCACACTGAGCAGAGGCAGCCCCGGGCTACCATCCATTGCTCTGCTCACTGGTGGTGGGGCCTGCCCACTCTGTCCCGTACCACGGGTGGTCTGCCTGGGTTGTGGGAGCAGAAGCTGTCCCACTGAGGCTCAGTAGGCAGCTGCCTCACACTTGTCTGGGCCCAAGGAGCCCAGGACACACAACTGGGACAATTTGGGTGACAACCACACAACACTGCTGCTAGTCCAGACTACTTCCTTCTGTGCGGTCTGGAAAAGTGCAGTGACACCGCTGCATTTCCAAAAGCAGCAGAATCACGGTAGTAACTTAGCAGTAAATTAATAGCTCAATTTTGTCAATTCTGCCATTTGTTTGCTGTACTTATGAGATTAGA